TGAGAGGGTCATACAAAAACATGTATGTGACTGGATTTTATAAATTGAACAAATTTAAGGTGTTCCTATTGTTATAGTTCAAGCAGAACATGCTGGTTTCATTATCTTTGCTTTTAATTGCATTTATAAATACATCTATAGCATTTTGAATCATTCCATCTGCTTTTATCTGCTTAGACAGAAACTAATTAAAGGCTGTTTAGCTCTAAACAGCTTTCTATACTTTGAGCTAGAAATGGATTTTCCCTATTTGATATCTAATTAATTAAAAAAAAATCTAGGACTAAAGACTAGACATATGTACCATTAGGTTGACTACCACAATATTTTATCAAGGTTGATTATAAAAATATTTTATTATTTTCAAGAAATACGGCTCTTTGAAGGCTCTGGGTTTTTCTGAACCTGTTATGAGGGGTTAAATGCTGTCACAAAGAGCATTCAATTTGATGTATAGGGCGTATTATCACAGGGAAGTGTACTGTCATATGGCATTATGACACTTGAACTCCAGGGAGAAATTTGGGTCGAGTGTCTGGTTAATATGTTCTCGCCATCTTCCTGAAGCTGCTTAATGCTTGCTGTGTTTTGACCCTAATTCTCCTAAAGCACATTTCTCCTCCCTCCTACCATGTTTTGAACTCCCACTGATGCATCATTAAAAGTTGGGATAGATCCTGGGAGACCATGAAACCATTTCTTTGGATTTTACATTTAATTCTATCCCAACTTCTAAAAGGTGAATGGGACAACTATTTTTAACTGCCTTTAATGAAACATATTTAATTTTTTCAATCATGTGGTCAGAACTTCTTACAATAAATGAAATACAAGCTATTATGGTTTAAATTCATTTTGTTTACTGACCTCAGAGGAAAAAAAGAAAGCTTGCCACGATACCCTGAAATGTTTATATCTGATAGCTCCATTATAACAAATTTATTTGGATTGCACAGATCCAGCTACAATGTGAGCCACATGATATCTCCAAATGGATCATAAAATTAAAAAAAATATATGGTTGTCCCAAGTGCCAAAATGGCAAGTGATAAAGCTTTTCTAGCTCTTGTAAGATCGCTAGGCTACTTCTTAGAATAAATAATCTGTGCTCCTGAGGAATAGACAGAGGTCAAGTGTGGGTCCCATGCTCCTTCTTAGATACTCTGAAATGACACTTTTCCTTGACTGATATTTGGTGAATCCCAGGAAGCTGCCCTCCCAAAAGCTCCGTCCCTTAACATCTGGCTATTTCCTCTCCCTCAAAATTTGCCCTCATTGAACAAGATTTGCCCTCTATTGCTAAGTTATTGATGCTAAAATATGAGGATGGAAATTGAATTAGTCAATCATATGATGTTGTGTGAGCCTGGATATTTGAAATCTGGTGGCTGAGACATCAAGTAACAAATATATTCATTTTGATTTAAATATCTAAGAATCATGTAGATACTGCTTAAGCCCACTTGATACGAACTCTTCATTCAGAAGAGAAAGACCACTGCTAGGCAACTTCAGTCTCATAAGAATTGCCAGTCAACCATGATTTTTCACTGTGACTATTACTCTAATTTCTGGCTGATTCCTTAGAGACAGTGTTGTCTGAAATAAAACATTTGGTCAATTAAGTGCCACAGTCACTATTCCTCTTCTCTTCTCCTTCTTCTTCCTCTCTACAGTCCACCTAGACCATTTATGAAGGACTGGTTTTTGTGTCTTCTGTTCGTTTAAAACAGGGATTTTTTTTTTTTTTTGGTGTTTGTTTGTTTTAAGTGGGCTCCACGCTAGGCTTGAACTCATGACCCTGAGATCAAGACCTGAGATCAAGAGTGAGATGCTTAACTGACTGAGCTACTTAGGATCCCTCTAAAATAGGGTTTAAAGTGGAATAAAAACCAGTTTCCAAAAAATCTATAACTCTGACAAAGCTGTGGGAGCTTTTTAAGGATTTAGAAATAGGTAGTTAGCAATAGGTTACATATCACATTGTTTAGACCAGATTTCCCATCTGGGCAAAGTTTCTAATTTTCCAACTTGAAAATTGTACTACATATATGTGGGAATTCTTGCTTAGAGGCTGATGTTCATTTGAAGTTGACAAAAGAATATATATCTATTTAACAAATACAACTCACTTTATTTTTAAATAGTGCCATCTCTAACAACTTTGGTATTGCCTTTGTGGATATGATAGAACAAATGAAGTATTTTATTAGTATTAATATTTATAGAAAACATGGGGGAATGAAGAAATAATTTGAATGACCCAGCCAATGAATTATCAAATCATGTATACAGATTCTGAGTAAGGAAACATAGAAAATGAGGTAACCCCAAAATATAGGTGGTTGCCATTACTTCTGGTCCAAGTCTCGGCAGTGACACAGTGAGTGAAGTCAATACTATTAGACCAAGTATTCTGGGGTGGATAGAGAAGTGCAGAGCAAGCGGAGGATGCAGGATTAGAGACCACCACATAGCTGCTGAAGAAGAGATTCTGTGGTTGGGATTTGTTTTCCTCTCTCCCCACTCTCATCCCCTAGGGTCATTCTAGATCTCAATTCTCTTTCCTTGTTTATAACACTGCTATACTTGACCCTGGTGTGTTCCTATTGCTTACTAGGCAAACACAAGTGCTTAGACAGTCTCTGTCATAGAGACCTCACTAGTATTTGATGGTAGGAATAAATGCCTTGAGTTGTTTAAACTTTAACATATGCTCATTGGTTACCATATAGGTATAAGAAATGCTGTGATTGTGACCCAAGCCCCTGATTTACTATTTCTATATTCCTCTTTCCTTGGGTCTATCCCCTAGTCTTTTTTTTTTTTTTAAACAAATTTACATTTTTTTTTTTAAAGATTTTATTTATTTATTTGACAGAGACAGAGACAGCGAGAGCAGGAACACAAGCAGCGGGAGGGGAAGAGGGAGAAGCAGGCCTCCCCCCGAGGAGGGAGCCCGATGTGGGACTCGATCCCAGGACCCCGGGATCATGACCTGAGCCGAAGGCAGACACTTAACGACTGAGCCACCCAGGCGCCCTATCCCCTAGTCTTTGACTTCTTTTTTGTACTTCTTTTCCTCTTCTTCCACACCTTTCCTTCTTTAATTGTCTTCTGTACTTTTATTGGTTCTTCTTTCATTGATCCTTCTCAATTTCCATTTTTAACTTTTTTTCCCTGCTCAATACTTTTACTACTATCCCTGGACAAACCCAACTCCCAAATAATAATATAACTAAGGGGAGCACTGAGCACACACAACAGCAATACTGGAACATTTACAATACCTACCAACTGTGTCATTAGCTCAAGACAGAAAATAAGCTGAAAGAATGGAGTGACACTAACTTCCATTGTTTTATCATCTTGTGTATAAGTTCTGCTGTGCTTAAGGAGCATAATTCAGGTAATAAAACCTTTGGCAGGGTGTTGTTTCATAGAGGCAACAATATCCTGTAGAAAATGAAACCAGGCAGGAAGTCAAGAGATGATGGATCCTGTTCTTCCAAACACTGGGTAACCTCCGGTAAATAAGTCCTGCACTGTGGACCCCGCCTCGGTTTGCTATTTTGTAAACCCTAATATCTGATAGACCTGTGTGAAGGATTAATTAGATAATATACATAAAAATACTTTGTTCTTTAGAAGGGGAGAACTGTGATGTAATAATCCAGTATTTATCATCTGTTCATCAGATAACATGATTTGGTGATTCTATCACACAAAGAACAAACGTTTTTATTATCAAATTTGGGTTAACTCACTCCTAGGCTGCAGAGCTGTTGGAACCACCATTCCTGGGACCTAATCAATAATTGTCCCTTCCTAAATAGTCTTTTGGCTTACCAGACTTTCTGAAACTTCTTATAGTAGTAGATTTGCTCTTCTCCAAAGCCCTAAGCAGCCACAAGAAAGCATTCTTAAGTCTTCTCCTAAAATTCTACAATTATTTGAAGAGCAGAAGAGAATCAGAAGTGCATGTGTGCATGCGTGCATGTGCGCGTGTGCACGTGTGGGTGCTTCCAACAACGGAGAGGTCCCTAAAGAGAGAGTCAAACATTGAGAAAGGGATCTATGCTCTTAGTCTCCTTTCATAGACCTTGTTCCTCAATTAGTCACTGAAACAAGATGACTTCTCCATATTGGGCCTGAGGGGCAGTTGTGAGTGTGTGAAAACCTTTTAAACATCCAATTTCATGGTGTACATGCTAGAAAAATGATTTTTTTCTCTTCTTTCTGAATCATTCAGTTTGAACCTACTCAGAAAAACTGCTGATTCATTGGACTATGAAATACAGACTCTTCTTAAGAGGCATTTCCTGTAGTAGCCCATTTCCACTTATGTAACGCTCTTCTGCTAGTCAATTCATAGCTCTTTAAAAAGTTCCCTTAAAATCCTCAAGTTCACTTGTAACTCTGAGGGGAACTCTACACAGACCTTCAAAAATCAAAATCTTTTATGACTGAACACATTTCCAGATTCATTTAATAATGCCACTCTCAGAAGACTTCACCTTTTTGACCCTCCCCTCCCCTTTGCTGTGGTAAAAGAATATAAAAAAGTCTTTAATAAACAACTTTAAGCATTCCTTCACTGAAAAAGTCTGTAGCAAAAACCAAACATAAAATGAATAAAAAGGTAATAAACTCAGTATTTTAGGTCCATTTCTCAATTTTTTTCTAAACACATTATGACCAAGTAGCCTCTACTTCACTTTCATGCATATATACATATATATATATATATATATATATTTACACACACACACACACACATATATATATATACTTAAATGTATATATTTTAACAACATGGAATGGTAACATCAAATGCTTAGGTTCCATGCAAACACATAACCCTTTCTGAAGGAAACATATTAATATTATAAAAACAAATCATGGAGAGTAACATGCAACAGCTGAGGGGAGGAGAATGGGGTTGGGGCAGGGGACCCAGAGAAACACAAAGAATGTAAAGAACAAAAAGTGTCATTGACCTGATTTGTCAGAGCTGTTGCCTGTGATTGGAGTGATGGAGCAGCTGGGATTAGCCTTTGCGCTGTCCTTGGAAGAAACCATTTTGGGTTTATTTTTCGTTGCCTCTAGTGCTTTGACCTTCTTGGCATGTTTACTTCCTTTGTAGTGGGCCTCGGCCTGGCTCTACAAAGGAGAACAAATCAGGCTCATTTTTTTGCTATTTACAAACACCACAATGGATGATCATGCAGGAAAATATACATTCAATCATAGGCACCACGGACATTTACTACTCAGCACTCAGCTATGTTTCTGGCATTTAATGAAGTGGTAGACCAGTTCCTAAGGGGGTTTTGCGATTGAAACCTTCTCTACAGCACAGAGGACCTGTGTCTTTAAAAACCAGACATTATTATGAGTGGACAACAGGGCCAGGGCACAACTGTGATGCCTTGTGCCCTCCCGCCACTGCCCGTTGGGGTTACTTTCAAACACTGAGCTGGCAACAAGCTGCTGTGAGTGTCCTTCCACAGACATTCCATTTTGTTTCCCTTCAGCTAAAAACCTGCTTGCCCTGCATCTACTTTCGTCTAGGCTCTGCTCTCTCCGAGAGCAACTGATGTAACACAGCAACCTGCTGGTGAGTGGAAATGGAGCTACATTTTAGAGTCGTCTACGTGTGCTTCATGCAGCATTTTGAAGATCCCAGTTCCAAGAATGGATAATTTAAGCCACAAAGGAAGGACAGTCCTTGTTTCTAATCTCAGAAGTGATTCTGAAGTCAAAGCAGTTAGTGTTACATTCACTTATACGCAAAGCACAGGTGGAACTGTGACTTGGATACTAGCTCAAAAGGAAGAAAAGGGATCAAGACAAGTGACTACTAAAAATCTTTAAAAGACAAAAACAAATTACAGGAAAACAAGAAAACATTTAATTAATTTATTGGCATTTGGAAATTTTCTCTCTGCCTAAAGAATAAGGATTTTATATTTTGGGCATCTAGCACGGATACACATATTAACAAAAGAATCTAAGTATATTCGCTTCAATTTCATTTTGAGTAGACCCTGAAAATAAAAACATGCATTTGGCAAAAAAAAAAAAAAACCAAATTGAGACATATATTATATGGCGTATTAGCTTAGTTATAAAGATGAAATGGATGATAAACTTATCATAAAATGAGTTCTCATTACAAAATTTCTAAAATAATAACTTTTTTTAATGTCAGTTTTCCTTATACACCTGTATGCACTTGAAGATGATTATACTAATGTTTTCATTCATTTTCCTCAGCAAGCAGAATACAGGTGGTGTGTGTGGGTGTGTGTGTGTGTATGTGAGCACATGTGTAAGTAGGTGGGTAGAAGTGACAACGGACAAAACGAGCCAGGTTTTAATTCTATATTTCAACTAAAGGGGGATGTATGTGATTTCCTTAGCATAGAACCCTGACCACCTGAGGTCAATAGCCTTATATTGACTGCACACAGTACCTAAGTTCCTGAATATCTTTTCATAAATATCATTGTAGATCATCACTGACTTGTAATTGCTCTTAGTTGGTTGGCTCAAGGACTTCTCATAGTATTCTCTGTCCGGCTGGAAAAAAATAACGGTCCCAAGGGAGGAGAAAAGTGGAACATAAGTTCTTTACTTATTAGGAACCAAGAATGCTTAAATCCAGTTAAGGTAGATGGTTGGATACAAATAAGAAAATATACAAATAAAAACTTAGAAGTTGATAACGTGAAGTGATAATAATAGTGACTAATATTATTGAATGTGCCAAGCACAGTTCTAAATGTATTACGTGTATTAGCTCATTTGGTCCTCATAATACTCTGTGAGGTAGGTACCATTATTAATCAGCATTTTACAGACGGAAAACTAGGCACAGAGAAGTTAAATAACATATTGAAAGTCACACAGGTAGCTGTAGAAGCCATTTTGTCGATCTGAAATGCTTACATGGACACCCCTATTTAACTGTACGCCCACACATTTACATACACATACTCACACTAAGTTAACATTATAATTTTAATAAAAGGAAAAAATACACACAGAGAAGGACACTGCTTTTAATGACTCAGTGAAGATTATGTCTTAACAGAAGTTTCTATGAGTAGGAAAAATCGACTGAATTCATGGGAAATATACTAGCATTGTACGTTAGGCCTGCTCCTTCCTGAAGAGCTAAGGAAGTCCCATCTTTTGGGTATACAACAATTTCTACATGATACCAGGAGACCTAACAACTCATCTTTCCAAGTATACTAAATAGTGTGATTTACTTTAGTGCCCTCCGGCTAAAGAAACATATGGTTCTCTAAATAAAACCTCCTAGCACTAGATAAGCGGAGTGTCATTTCCTCATTACAATTTCCTGGCATCACTGCAGAAAGTTAACAGCATCAATTAGCACTTGAGATAAAGATCCAGCTAAGTGACACCTCACTGGATGCCAAGATGGAAAGAACTCTTCATAGCCACGATCCACTTTCCTTTTGAGTTCTGGGGCATGGAGAGAAGTGCAACAAGGGAGCTTAGCTTCTACTCGATGTTATTTGGGAAGGACTTGTGGAATAAAGATAGTGGCAGGCACCACTCACTCACATTTGGCATCTTTCCAATTCCTGTGTGGTATTCTTGGTAGGAGCACTTTGCTATCCTCAGTCCTATATCTGAGGCAGTGTCAATGGCTTCTAAATCCTGGGCAAATCTTCAAGTGAAACTGAGACACTGTTAAATAGTAACACGATTAACCTGACTTCCTTATCTAGGACTCTTCTTCGTTGAGGAGCGAAAGAAACAAGGACAAGAGCCAGAAAACCCATGAACTAGGCAGCACAAATCAAGCCCAATCGACAATGGCTCTTGTGTCACTTCCGAGAGACCTGGTTGACCAAGCTGACTTACTTTACACCTCAGCGACTGAACAGGAGACACGTATTTGTCTAGCTCTAATGGTCTGCTTTCTGCTTCTCCACCAAAAGTGCTGTTGTGCCCCTGACTGGCAATGGTCCAAGAAACCTTTCTTGCCAAGAACTGTCGGAATTCGAGAGTTGCCTAAGCCACCATATTGACCTCCACAAGAGAATTCCTCAGGATCGAGATTCTTGTCTCACAGGTCACCCCAGGAGCAACCAGACCACGTACTGGTAGAGGAAGAGCTTTTTTTTTTTTTTTTTTTGAGAGAGATACAGCGAGAGAGGGAACACAAGCAGGGGGAGTGGGAGAGGGAGAAGCAGGCTTCCCGCAGAGCGAGGAGCCCAACGCGGGGCCCGATCCCAGGACCCTGGGACCATGACCTGAGCCGAAGGCAGACACCCAACGACTGAGCCACCCAGGTGCCCCGAGGAAGAGCTTTGACAGGAAATGACATCCTGGAATTTTCTCTTCTGTTTATCTCCATGTTTGTTCCTAAAGGCTTTTGCTTTCATAAATCCTCTCCATCTCTCAGGACCCCACTGGTCCAAACAAAAAAGATAAAGAATGGGATGATGTATTGCTTTAAAAATAAAAACATGTCTGGGCAGAAGACATGAACAGACATTTTTCCAAAGAAGACATCCAAATGGCCAACAGACACATGAAAAAGTGCTCAATATCACTCGGCATCAGGGAAATCCAAATCAAAACCTCAATGAGATACCATCTCACACCAGTCAGAATGGCTAAAATTAACAAGTCAGGAAATGACAGATGTTGGCGGGGATGCAGAGAAAGGGGAACCCTCCTACACTGTTGGTGGGAATGCAAGCTGGTGCAGCCACTCTGGAAAACAGTATGGAGGTTCCTCAAAAAGTTGAAAATAGAGCTACCATATGATCCAGCAATTGCACTACTGGGTATTTACCCCAAAGATACAAAAGTAGGGATCTGAAAGGGTACGTGCACCCCAATGTTTATAGCAGCAGTGTACACAACAGCCAAACTGTGGAAAGAGCCAAGATGTCCATCCACAGATGAATGGATAAAGAAGATGTGGTATATATATACAATGGAATATTATGCAGCCATCAAAAGGAATGAGATCTTGCCATTTGCAACGACGTGGATGGAACTGGAGGGTATTATGTTGAGCGAAATAAGTCAAACAGAGAAAGACATGTATCATATGATCTCACTGATATGAGGAATTCTTAATCTCAGGAAACAAACTGAGGGTTGCTGGAGTGGGGGGTGGGGGGGGAGGGATGGGGTGACTGGGTGATAGACACTGGGGAGGGTATGTGCTCTGGTAAGCGCTGTGAATTGTGCAAGGCTGTTGAATCTCAGATCTGTACCTCTGAAACAAATAATGCAATATATGTTAAGAAAAAAAAATAATAATAAGAAGAAGGTAGCAGGAGGGGAAGAATGAAGGGGGGGATATCAGAGGGGTAGACGAACCATGAGAGACGATGGACTCTGAAAAACAAACTGAGGGTTCTAGAGGGGAGGGGGGTGGGAGGATGGGTTAGCCTGGTGATGGGTATTGAGGAGGGCACATTCTGCATGGAGCACTGGGTGTTATGCACAAACAATGAATCATGGAACACTACATCTAAAACTAATGATGTAATGTATGGGGATTAACATAAGAATAAAAAAATAAAAAAATAAATTAAAAAAAGAAAATTGAGAAAAAAAATAAAATAAAAATAAAAACATAACACTAAAAATTTCTAAAATTCACTGTGCTCCCATTTCTGGTTTTTACCTTATTTCTAATTTGGACTTCAGGGACATGCCTAGGATCTTGAAACACGATGTTAAACTGTGTTCACCTTGTATAGAAAGGACACTCCCAAGCACAAACTTACAAAGTGTCTGGGGAAGAGCAATGTTACTAGAGAAAGTCCTCAACCATTTATCTAGTGGAACTCATCTTGTTGCATTTAAAAAAGTAATTAGAACTCTTCCCTTCGTTAAAGAAAGTGCATCATTCAAACTTGGTGCCTAATTTTCTGAGACCTTAGATTTCAGGATGTTAAGCAGCATTATATGGGAAATAGCAGAGGTCAGTTAATTTTCAGAGAAGCTCTATACACTAAAATGTCAAATAAAAAAAGATATCAAATGAACCACCATAAGAACAGGCTACACCAACAAGGGGAAAACGTTCTTATTATTGCACAAAGAATTATTTAGCACCTGCCATGTGCTAGACACTGAGAAAGATTAAAACCAAA